CAATAAAAAACCTATTACTTATCAATGTGAGGCATGTCAACTTACCAAACACACTAGAAATGTTTATATCATGACTCAGTACAAACCTTCACATCATTCTTCTATTATCCAAAGAGATATTTGAGATGCTTAAAAAATAAGAGCCCGAAATGGGGCATGATGGTTTGTCAGATTCATTGGCGATCACACTAGAGCCAATTGGCTACTTCTAATGAATATGAAATATATATAAAATATGAAATAGCTCCAATCTTCCAAACCTTCCATGACATGATTTAAACTCAATTTCAATGCAAAATTCAAATCCTCAAAACTGACAATGTAAAGGAATTTTCAACTCCATTATTGGATCCTATCTTTCAAAATGAAATTATCCATATGAGTTCATGTATAGATACCCCACAACAAAATGCGAAACTTGAGAGAAAGAACGTGTATCTTCTTAAGGTATCTCGCTCAATTATGATTTGCCATAAAATTACAAAATATTTTTGGGGGGATACAGTTTTTACTGAAACATACACTATTAATTGAATGCCTAGTTAGGTACTTAATTTCAAAACACTGCTTCATGCCTTAATGGATACCTACGCCCACATCAAAAATTTCTCTTCTAATGTACCACCTTTTTTTTTTTTTGTATATATCTTTTGTTCACATTTATTCCCCAAACCGAACAAAACTTAACCTTAAATTTATCAAGTGTACTTTCTTTAGGTATGCCTCCAGCAAAAATAGTTATAAGTGCTACTCATCAGTTATCAAAAAATACCACAGCTACAAGGATGCAACATTTTTTTGAAAATCAATCCTATTATCCCAAATCCAATATTTAAAAGGAGAGTGCAAATGAATATCAATTCTAGGATGCACTTAATGACACCTACACAGCCTCACAAGCTACCCCTCTTCCACCTATCTCTTCTATCTCCCAAACATTATAGCATGAAAATATCCTACTTAAGGATGTCCAACCTACCCAGTTTGAAGTTCATAACAAATAACTTCATGTGTACACAAGGAAGAAAAATTTTGAGCAGGTGGAAGACAACTTGCAAAGACAGACTGCTCAAGCCAAAAATCAAGTTCATACTCACCTGAAATTTTGGGTGAGGAGTCTACAACTCACGAGATATCTCCTTCCTCTGCTGGTGTTGATGACAATAAAAGTTGTACAAAATATCTAACTCAGGAGTATGTGGTTTATGATAAGCTATCCTCACCTTACAAACCTTTTGTATCTAACCTTGATAGTGTGCAGATTCTTAAATTCATTCATGAACCTTTTAAAAATAAAAAATGGAAAAATGCAGTTGAAGAGGAGATTTAAGCACTAAAGCATAATAGCACATGAATTCTTACTAAACTTCCTCGAGATAAGAGGCCAATTGGATGCAAATAAGTATTCAACATTAAATACAGAACTAATGGTGGTATCAAGAGATTCAAAACTAGACTGATTACAAAAGGTTTCACTCAGGCCTATGGGACTGATTATCAAGAGACCCTTGCACTAGTTGTCAAACTGAACACTATCAGAATTCTCTTAATAGTAGTTAATAGGGCGTGGAGACTACATCAACTTGACATAAAAAATTCCTTCTTGAATGAGGATCATGAAAAAGAAGTTTACACAGAGATATCATCAGGACTTGAGAATAATTTCAACAAACACCGAATATGCAAACTCAAAAAGTCTCTCTATGGTTTTAAGCAATCACCAAGAGCATGTATCGAAAGGTTTGCTAAAACTATGAGATCTAATAAATATTCCCAATGTCAAATTGATCATACACAGTTCAAAAAACACGCTCACTGAGATGATTGTTGCACTGATAGTATATGTGGATGACATGATTCTGATTGGTGATAATGACAAGAAAATTCTAAAAATAAAAAAATGGTTGTCATTGAGTTTGAAATAAAAAACCTAGGATCCATAAGATATTTCCTAGGTATGAAGGTGCAAGGTTCAAGAAGAGTATTGGTATATCACAGAGAAAATACACCCTAGATTTGATAAAGAAGAAAGGACGATTGAATGTAAACCTATTGATACTCCTATGGATCCCAACAAAAATTCTAATAAGGGAGAAGAAAGTACATATGCGGATAAGGGAAGATATCAAAGATTAGTAGAAAAACTCATCTACTTGTCACATACTAAGTCAAACATTGCATAATATTTCAGTATTATGAGTCAACATATGAATAGCCTAAAAGAAAAGCATTTAAAGATGTTGTGCAGGATTTTTAGGTTTCTCAAGAAGAATTCTAATTATGAATTAATTTTTAGAGAACTAAAAACTGAGAGGTAGACATCTACACTTATGCAAGTTAGGTTGGGGAACTCACTGACGGAAAGTCCACCGCAACTTATTACTCCTATTATAGTACTTGCTTTATAAATCTGTGAAGGGACCTGGAATAAAAAAATATTGAGAATTGGGTTGTAACCTCTAATAGGCCTAAACAAATATTATGTGATACTCAAACAACTATAAGTATTGCCAACAACCCCGTGCATCATGAGAGGATTAAACTTATAGAAATTGATAGGCACTTTATCTCTGAAAAAGCTAATGGTGGAATCACATCAACAAGTTGTTAAAGTCTTTACCAAAGCTCTCCCTTCGAACCACTTCTCAAAGTTTAACACCAAGTTTGGTCTCTACAACATATACAATCCAATTTGAGGGGTAGTATGGAAATCTAGGAGGATTGGCCTCCCTTCCATGGAAGGCGCAGGCCGACAATCCAAAAAATGATAGATGGATTAATTGGAGAAAGTTTGGGAAACTCCTTGATTAATTTTTTTTATTCTCTTCTAATTTATGTTTATTTCATAATTACTTCTTTACCATGTTTAGGCTATATATATTAGGTAAGATTGCAAATTAGGAGAAACTGGTTTCCCTATACATGTAGCTAGGGTTGTAAACAAACCGAGCTTGAGCGAGCTCAGGCCTGGCTTGTGTTCGGCTCGTTCGAAATTGCTCGTGTTCGAAATTAGCTCGTGAACAGTGTGTGTGTTCGACTCGATTTAAATATCTGTGTTCGTGTTCGACTCGAAATTGAATTGTTAAAATTAAATTGAAAAAATTAGATGTTGAGTGTTAGATTCGAACATGGGTCAAATGTATGCAAAAAAAGTCACATAACCACATGAGCTGTTATGATTTAAACTTAGATATAAATATATATAATATATTATTATATAAATAATATATGTAATATATTATTATATAAATAATTATTTAATTTTTTTTCATTTCGAGCTAAACGAGCCGAACACGAGCGAACAAAGAGTTGTTTGTGTTTGGCTCGTTTATAATTCAATCTTTAAAAACTTGTTGGTCTTCGACTCTTTTACTTAACAAACGAGCCGAACACGAGTTGTTCGCAAACAACGACTTTTTTTCATAGCCATACATGTAGCCTTATGGTTGAAGATTGATAATGAGAATTAAGTGAGTATTCCCTCATGCATTTTTTCTTCACTTTTCTAAGAAAATAGAAGCTCTAGAAGGACTAAAAATATTGAAATAAAACTTCATTTTGTTAAAAACTTTGTTCAAGTTGAAGATATTAAGATCATTCATGTCAGTATTAACAATATGCTTGACAATCCCTTTACTAAAAGGTTGTGGCTTATAATCTTCAAAAGACATTCTATAACATGGGCATTTTTAAAATCAATTGATAAAATTAAATAGAGTTAGCTTTAATGATTGTGAAAGAAAACTTACATTACATAAGAGTTTAAAAGCATTTCAAGTGTTTGTCTATTATGAATATATTTGAGTGATCATTATAATAAATCATGTTTTTCTTGATAATAGTATATTGTGAGTTCAAGCTATATTCCTTTTTGAGCAAGCATATGTTAAGGTGTATTGTTGTTGTATTGTTTAAGGCGTGTTGAATTTAAGAAAATAAGACTGACTAGCATATTAAATATTAAAATCACGTTTTGAGTGTTATTTTATTGCTACACTACCTCTTGAGATTCAAGTCGATAAGTTCATTCACATTTGTAAGCACGATTTCAATAGAGAGCATGGTTGCTGCCAACCAGCCATAATTCAATTTTGATTGTATTGTTGGACTAAATCATATTTAGAAGTTATAAATATACATGAACCACTTGGCTTTTATATTGTGGCCAAATGCTCAAGTAATATTCAATTTATTAATATTATTGGTAATTAATGTTGCTTGGGTGGGAAAACATTGGAATGATTCACTGTCGGCGCTTAAAAGGGGGGAAAAGAGAGTTTTCAATTAATAACAAATCAATTGAGTTATAGCACAAATTATCAAGCCCCCCAAACGATTCTAATGCATAAACCTCATTTGAGTTTAAGTTGTTCGCAACTAGAGTAGACCTAACCTTCAATAACAACCCATAATGGAAGGGCCATTAGGCTATAAATATAAAGGGCTAGGTCCACTATCCAACTTTAATATATTTCGCCCTTATCCCAACACGATGTGGTAGGAAAAAGGACAGAATGAGTCTCATCTCACTCCTTTAGTGCACAATGGATCAATCAAAAGTGCTATCCAACTTTAATATATTTCGCCCTTATTCCAACACAATGTGGTCGGAAAAAGGACAGAATGAGTTTCAACTCACTCCTTTAGTGCACAATGGATCAATCAAAAGTGTTAAAATCACTGAGAGCTTTGAAAATTCTAAAATTATGTGTTATACTCTTCATGTATCCCATCCTTTTTGCCTTCTTAGAAATTTGCATTCCATATATAGACTTCAACAGAAAAATGAATTGACTTGAAAGAACATAGTTGGTTTTAGTACAATACATTTTTCCTATCACAATCGTTTCTTGAGTATATTATTTGGATTTTGATTCATATTATATACAAGTTAATGAAACATAAACTATTTCAGCAAGCTACAAATATTAAAATGACGCAAGTTAATATAGAAAAATCAAAATAATGCCTGCAATTAAATTTTCGTTGTGTTTAATCACCTTAACAGACGTTGCAATCACAGGGACAAGATGACCCTGTGTATTTACTTTGAATCCATCCATGACACCCCTGTATGGAAGAAGTGAATCATCAAATTAGCCCTCTTATATAATGACTGTGTAGTTTCTATCAAATTAATTAATTCCAAAGAAGAATTAAGTCCAGGATATATGATTCCAAACAAAAATATTTAGAGACTAGCTGTTCACATTATTTCTATCTATCTATACCGTGGTTCAATAAGTTGAAAGCAAAAATTAGAATAGTAAGATGAACCATTGAGAATGATAGAGGGCATACCTGTCAAGATGAATAGCCAGCGTCGGTATCCGCATGATTGGCTCTGGAATCCTGATAAGCTTATGCGTATAAGAGACTGAACTATCTTTCTTTTCCTTTATAATTAGCCGACCTGCAACTGTTAAGTCACGATCAAACCAGGTGTGCCACAATCCACTACCATATGTCTGTACACCCAATTCCAGATATCCTCCTTTTGCTACCTAAGAAGCGCCATATTGTGAACAACAGCTCCGTTCTCAACAGAAAACATATTTTTTGCTTCTTCTTAAGTTTATCTCCTTTTGTTTACATAAAATCATGACGAAAAATACATTTAAACTATATAATCATACCCAAAAGGGAAAAAATGCATCAACATCATTTAAAAAAAAACATCAAACTTCATGTGTATGACAAATTAAAATTGTATGCCTCAGCTTACAGATGGAATTTTAACATACAGGAGAAAGCCAGAGCAACAAAAAAAAATGAAATCAGCCACCTTTGAATTAGGCTTCAGTTTGAGACAAGGACTATCTGTGTGCGCTCCAACAATGTGGAAACCATTCCCAGCAACATATCTGGAAAAAAAAAAAAATTCTCGATCAAAATTGCGAATAAAAAAAAAAGAACAATCAGAGGAAAATTTTGTTTCCAGTCATGTCTATCAAGTAGGAAGTGATCGAAGAAGACACCTTTTTCCAATCGCAAAGGCCACGATGGTAGAATGATTTCTAGTGAAGAAGTACTTCTTCCCAAGTTCCAGATTCCAGTCCTCTCTCTCCGGCACCTGCTCGAACCCAGCCTTCTTCAATCGCTTCTTCGCCTCATCTAACAACACGCAACAGATGCTCGCTTACTGACTCTCTTTCCCGAAAAAAACCAGAGACATCGAAACGAGAAAAATATAGAGAAAAAACATAAGAGCGTGGTTCCGTGTTTCAGGGTTATCATTACCAACGGCATGGAAGGCAGTTGGAGATGCGTTGAGGAAATCAATGAGTTCAGTAGCCACTGGATCC